GACAAAGGCGGAAGACTAGTTGATGGCTTCCAAACCACCTTATGTTAGAAATAAGGTGAACTATAACAACTGCTGCAGCTTATAAGCCCTAATGCCCAACTATTGACATCAGTAAAATTAATAATTATCAAATTTACTCTTACGATCACTGGCTACCATAAGAGGAGCAAAAGCGTGAGCATGCATGCATACATACACACACACACACATGCACGCACGCACACACAGAACAGTAAAAATAATCTTTTGAAGTAGATTTAGTTGTATTTTCCATTTGTAGTCCTAAATCTTTAACTTTAGGCACTGTGTGTTTTCTGACATTAAAATGGTTTTGGATTCTGAAGTATGAGGGTTAAATATGCATGTGAGCTGGGGTAGCCAACACCTGCGATTCCAACACTCTGAGGTGAAGCAGAAGGACAGAGTCTAAAGCAATCATCAGCTACCTAGTGAGCTCAAGTCTAGCCTAAGCTACACAAAATGCTAGCTAAAATAATAAGAAGAAACAAACTAACAAAAAAAACCCCTGCATTGTAGCATTGTATCGGTGAACAATCTCAAAACATACAGGAGCCACTTCCTCTGAAAGGAGGGTGTACATTAAAACCCACTCAAATATGAAGTGTGCCAGTTGTTGCAGGAAGTAGGGAGGGTGTTACGTGGCAGTTTCTCGGAGATTAAAACCTTGCATCATAGAGGGAAACGTCCTAAGACAGGAGGTTTGCACCGAGAGGTAAAACAACAGGATGTTTCTAAAGAGAACTGAAGTGAAGACACAGAGTGAACAACTCCAAGTAACTTTAGGAAATCCCTGGAAACGACCGGATTCCCCCAAATCCCTTCCCCGAGAGTATATTAAACAGTAGAGACTGATGAGGGCCACTCTCAGACAAGCCCACCCGAAGCAGATAACGCCTAGAAGAAATAAGGACAAGCTGAACATCCTGGAAGATGCTCAGACCAACTGAGACCACCAGGAGAGGCCACCCTCCAACCTTTTGGGCTATGGAGTTTTCTAGCTTTTCGTGAGCTGTCACCCGTGCTGTCGTGGATTTTGGTGTCTCTGGGTCTTTTGAGTCTTTTATGTCCTGTAAATAACACCTCACTCAAATCCCTCTAAATAACCTCAGTAAAACTCATGCTTCGGAGCCGGACAGATAGCTCAGCGGTTAGCAACACAGGCTGCTCTTCCAGAGGACCTGAGTTCAATTCCCAGCAACCGCATGGTGGCTCACAACCATCTGTAGTGACATCTGGTGCCCTCTTCTGGCCTGCAGGCATACATGCAGACAGAACACTGTATACACAGTAAATACATCTTTTCTTTTACTGCTTCACCGAATCAAGACTTCGGTGATACACATACTTTCCCGTCTGTGCAGCTGCCCTATCTGAGGTGTGCAGGTGAAAAGGTCTTGTTCTCGCAGCAGAGGGACAAGCTGCTACTGGCAGTGTAAATATGCATCCTAGCACTAACTCCTCCTGCGTACCGGTGTACCCACCATCGACTTTCCCTCCCCGACCAACTCGCTCCTTCCCGCAAAATCTTCATCGTCACAGACTTGTGGCACTTCCAAAAACAGGGAGGTTACAGCGCAAGCCTGGAGTCCAACCACAAGCACTACCTGCTTTCCCGGGGAAAACGTAAAGCCAAGGGCCTCAAAGAGAAGGAGGGCGGCTTTGGTTCTCACCCAAGTGTGTACCGCGCCCTGGATTCGGTCCTCCCTGGCATCCTAGGAGCTGTTGAGGACGGATGGCGCGAGCAGCTACAAGCACCGGGTCAGCCCCGTTCTCCACACTCCCGGCTCCGGCTGGCGAAAGGAAGCTTCTCGTGAACGTCAGCCGACCGGAGGCGAGGACGAGGCGCGCACCTCCTTCTGCGGGCGGCCAAAGACAACTCACCTGGTCCTGGACCCTAAAAATGTTCACCCTCGGCCCGTCGGAAGTGACGTTGTCATCCGAGCCTCGCAGCTCAGCCACGTAATCCGCCGCCGCCTTGGGAAACAGCCACCATCTCCCCCAAGTTCACCCAGAGACCGGGAAAGTGAGGCCCGAAGCCCATAAACCCTCGATCGCCCAGGCCTCTGCGGTCCCCACCCTACCGGGACTCAGCACCCTGAGCTCGCCCCGAGCCGGCCCGAGCAGCGCTGCGCTGCGCTGCGAGCCATGGGCTTCGGAGTCCCGCGACGCGCATGCGCGGCCGTCCGTCTCCCGAGGACTGCCCGGGTCACCTGGGCGCCTCAGCCACCTTGACGCGGCCGGTTCCCTCTCCGGCCCATTCCTAACTGCGCAGGCCCTCACCTCCGGCCCTGGGCCGCCACCTGCGGCCCGGCTCGGCCCGGCCCGGCGCGGGCGCGGGCGCTCCGAGCGCCCGTCTTCCACGAGCCGCCGCGCCGCTGCCGCCGGCCGCTTCCGCTTCCGGTGAGTATTGTGTGTCGCGCCGCGGGGCGGGGGCGAGGGGAGGAGGAAGGAGGGAGGCAGTGCTCCGGCGGCTCCGCGCCCGGCACTCCGGGACCCGGAGCCGGGAAGGTAAGGTGCTGCGCCGCCGCCGCTGCCGTCGTCTCCGTCGCCGTCGCGCGGGGACCCGGAGCCCGCCGCTGCCAGCCGGCTCCTCACGCCGCGGCCCTGCGCCCGGCGAGCGCGTCAGCTGCCCCGACCGGCGCGCCCGCCCGCCCGCCTCGGGCCCGGAGGACGTTTGCCGCCCCGGCGACGTCAGCGCGTCCGGCGTTGCTTGGCTACCCCGCCGTCTTCCCCTGACTCCCCGGGTGAGACTGACGCAGTCGCCGCGGCCGCCGTTGCCGTTGCCACTGCCGCTGTCGCGGGTCTGGACTGCGGCATGGCAGCGACGGGCATCCCATCTTCACGTCACACCTCTCTGCCCCTCACTTAGACGCGCATCCCTCGCTCCCTCTCCTGCCTGCCTGTCTGTGTGTGTGTGTGCGTGTGTGTCTGTGTGTGTGCGTGTGCGCGCGCCCCTCACTCGGGTCCTCATGCTCCCGATATGGAGACCCGGTGGGATGGAGTTGGGGACAGTGCTCCCGACAGGCTCCCCCAGGTGGTACCCGACAGTGGTTAAAAAGAAAAAGGGCAAAACGAGGGCGCCTCTGAAGTTGGTGCTTCTGCTGAGACAGAGCCGTGGGGAGAGAGGGAGGACCGAGCCCGAGGGGAGGGAGCACCAGGCCATATTCTGACTGCCCGCCGCCCTCTCCATCGCCGCCCGCTCCGCGGCTCCCAAGTCCTCTCCCTTCTGCACTTAACCCTGAGCCGGGTTCTCTGGGGCGCGCCGCGTATTTGCCGCTTATGTGCGCTTGTAGTTCTGTCCATTGAGGTGAGGGTCTGGGGAGCAGAGTCTCTGGTCGGAATTGGATTCTGATGAGTAGCAGCGAAGGAAGCCTTCCAACTAACTGAACTTACCAGAGTCTGAATTCCTCCCCTCCGTTCTCGGGAAATAAGTTGCCAACTCCTACTTAAAACCCGTCCGTTTGTATCACCAGCATGCAGAAATAGTCATTGCCGCCCCAGCTCATTACATGACCGCTTTTCTGTCAGCGTGTGCGCCTACCAGATTTCCTTCCTCCGTTGGGGTCCCTCTCTGCGGCCCAAGGGAAGTAAGGGTTGTGAGATCCAGAGAAGTTAGGTGTTGACATCTTAAGGATGAAATGGGGACCGGCCTTGGGTTCTGTGTATCTCTCTGGTGTGTTTCCAAATCTAAGGCTGTATCTAACAGGGCTTTGAATTGCTTGCCTCTTTCCATGTGACAAGGTGGTCATACTTAATCCAGGCTGGACTCCTGATGCTCCCCATACCTCGCAAATTTCCTTTAAAAAAAAAAGATTTATTTATCTATTACATATACAGTGTTCTGCCTACATGCCAGAAGAGGGCACCAGATTGAATTGTAGATGATTGTGAGCCACCATGTGGTTGCTGGGAATTGAACTCAGGACCTCTGGAAGAGCAGTCAGTGCTCTTAACCTCTGAGTCATCTCTCCAGCCCCAATTTATTTATTTATTTATTTATTTATTTATTATGGGTACAGTATTCTGCCTGCATGCCAGAAGGAGAGAACCGGATCTCATTATAGATGGTTGTGAGCCACCATGTGGTTGCTGGGAATTGAGCACAGGACCTCTGGAAGAGCAGCCAGTGAGTGCTCTTAACCACTAAGCCATCTCTCCAGCCCTATTTATTTTTATTTTGTGAGCATTGGTTGGTGTCTTGCCCGCATGTCTGACTGTATAAGGGTGTCAGATCCTTTGGAATTGGATTTACAGACGTTGTGAGCTGCCGTGTGGGTGGTGGGAATTGAACCCTGGTCCTCTGGAAGAACAGCCGATGTTTTTTAACCACTGAGCCTTGTCTCCAGCCCACATTTCCTTCTTTTAATTCCTAGGCAAATCATCAGTCAACTGAATATCCAAGGGATTAGTTATTGTTATCGACCTTGAAAGACTAAATTTGAAGGGCAGTGGTGAGGCACGCCTTTAGCACTTGGGGGGGCAGAGGCTGGCGGATCTCTGTGAGTTCAAGGCCAGGACAGCCAGGATTGTTTCACAGCTGCAGCAGACTCAGGGCAAAAAAAAAAAAAGGACTTGCCCTCTGCTCAATAAAATAATCTTAGAGTTGAAATGTGTATGTTACTTTGCAGCCATTCCAGCTTCACACAAAGAGAAATGAGATGCCAGAGAGAAACATCTAGGAGGGAGCATTCTTCCTTTTGGCTCATCCAGGGAAAGGAGGATGATTTCACATTTCCCTTTAAAGAATTTGTTGCTGTAGTGTAACTCATTCAATGTGTTACCCTTTGAAAAGGGGGAGTCGCAGACAATCAAGGGTAAGCTCTAGTAAAAAAAAAAATCCTGAAACTTCTATGTGTTACACTAGAAGAAGTAGTGGTTTTTGTTTGTTTTGTTTTTTTTTGGTTTTCCTGAGACAGGGTTTCTCTGTGTAACTTTGTAGACCAGAGACCACACTGGCCTTGAACTCACAGAGATCCACCTGCCTCTGCCTCCCAGAGTGCTGGGAGCAAAGGCGTGCGCCACCACCGCCCAGTAAAGAATTTTTTTTAATGTAAATGTATGAAGTTCTTTGAAAAATAATTGTAATAATGAGTTCCAGTACTGCTAGCCAAAGCTCCATTAAAAAAAAAAGAGCAAACAAACAAAACACCTTGAAAAATATCTTATTTAAAAATAGTGTTTTCAAACAGCCCAGGCTAGCCTCATCCTTGTATTGGTCTGATCTTGATGCCTCACAGTGAGCTACCACACCTAGTTAGAGTCATAGTACTTTGACTTATGTGACATATCTCACTTCCTAGGCTTCCTTCCCTTGCTTCAGAGATCCGAGTAGTTCAGCCTGGCCGGGAACTCACTGTGTATAGCCCAGGTTGGCCTTCAATGGCTGCCTTGACCTCAGAAATGCTGGGCTTCATCTAGTAGAAAAATATGTCAAGTTAGAGTTAAAGGACACTTCTGTTTTTTGTTTGTATGTTTTTTGTTTTTCGAGACAGGGTTTCTCTGTATTGTTTTGGAGGGTGCCCTGGAACTCACTCGGTAGACCAGGCTGACCTTGTACTCACAGAGATCCACCTGCCTCTGCCTCACGAGTGCTGGGATTAAAGGCATGTGCCACCAACGCCCAGCGGACGCTTCTGTTTGTAATGACAACAGAGGTGAAAAAGATAACTAGGGACTGCATTTGACCAGAAGTCTCACATACTGTAAACAGAGCAACAGGTGAGTCTACTTGAAGAGATGGGAAAATACCAAGATGGGGCTTAATGGGAGCTAATGTCAGGATAGGAGTGCAAAAAAAAAGGAAAGAAAAGAAAAAAGAAACCCTCCAACTAATATTTTTCTTTTCTCTCACCCCATCTCCAAGTTAAATAATGGCAGAGACAAGTCTGTTAGAGGCTGGAGCCTCTGCAGCCTCCACGGCTGCTGTCCTGGAGAACCTGCAAGTGGAGGCTAGCTGTTCCGTGTGCCTGGAGTATCTGAAGGAGCCGGTTATCATTGAATGCGGGCACAACTTCTGCAAAGCGTGCATTACCCGCTGGTGGGAGGACCTAGAGCGGGACTTCCCTTGCCCAGTCTGCCGGAAGACATCCCGATACCGGAGTCTCCGGCCTAACCGACAACTGGGCAGTATGGTGGAAATCGCCAAGCAGCTCCAGGCCGTCAAGCGGAAGATCAGAGACGAAAGCCTCTGTGCCGAACACCACGAGGCCCTCAGCCTCTTCTGCTACGAAGACCAGGAGGCTGTCTGCCTGATATGTGCAATTTCCCATACCCACCGGGCCCACACGGTCGTGCCCCTGGATGACGCTACACAGGAGTACAAGGTGGGCAACCAGACACGCGACGCTGGTGTGGGGAAAGAGCATACATACTTTCTGAGTTAGAGGGGTTTAAGCTCCTGAGGCAAGGCTATCTCTGTTCCTCTGCATTCCTTCCCCTCAGAACTGTGTACGAGGTTATGCAGTACATCTGGTCACTTTCTGTGACTTACTGCAATGCAATTAGTCTTCAGAATGCTGTGGTTATGGTTCTGGTATCTGCCAGATTTTAAACTAATGAGCGAACAGCGTAAGGGTCTGAAAAATAATTTGGAAGAACTGAAAAATATTTTTGATGTCTTCATTTATGCTTATTTATTCAGGGTGTTTCTTTTTTTCCCCTATTTGTTGGAAATAGCTAACATCACTTTAGACTGATATCCATCAGATTAAGATGAACCAGTCTGCGTCTTCTTCATATAATGGGTAACATGATATTTAACATTTAAATCGCTAGTGAGGGTAAATGTTTTAGTAATAACAAAAGTCAAAGATGGTAAAAGTCTAGTTTTCACTCATTCTGTGTAATTAACAAAGTCTTGAGAAATATTTCTGGTATTTTACAGTCGAGTTTTATTTTGTTTATAAGTGGGTAGATCTGAATGGAAGCATGGGTAAAAAAAGAATAGCAAGACAGGCATGGTGTTAAATATTTATAACCTCAAGACTCAGAGGGTAGAGAGGCAGGAGCATGAAAAGTTGAAGGCTTCAAACATGGCTACATGTTTGAAGCCAGGCCAGGCTGCTGGAGACCTTACGATGGATGGATGGATGGATGGATGGATGGATGGATGGATGGATGGATGTGCAGTGCAAAGGGTAACTTCTAGCTGGAGGAGGATGTGACCTGGCTGATGGAGACCTTACCGTGAAATGATAGACAGACAGACAGACAGACAACTTCTAGCTGGAGGAGGGTGTGACCTGGTAATAGACTGTGTTCTTAGTGCACGCACCCTGAATGGAGGCTCAGTACCACCAGAGCAAACAAAACGAAACAAACATAACTTTGAGTGGTGTGGTAGGCAGTTGTCCATAGGAAAATAGAGTGAGAAAGGAAACAATTGATGACAGTTAGCCTACTAGATTCAGGGGGAGGAAAGTCAGGTGTGCCACAGGCATGGCAGAGACAAACTCACAGCAGGGTTTTCCCTGACGTCTATAGAAGGAAGAGCGTTAGATCATGGAGTGATGAGAGAGTAGAAATTGAGTGACTTAGGAGTGGGGAAGTGCCTTAGTGGTAGAGTATTTGCCTAGCATGCTTGAGGCCCTGGGTCTGACCCCAAGTGTTTCAAGGGAGGAACAGTTGGGGCTGTAGAGACGACTCAGCAGTTAGGAGGAGGCACCAGTCTGGCAGGTCACCACTGCCTATAACTTCAGTCCCGGGGATCGATTGATGCACTCTGCAGGCCTCTGTGGGCACCAGCCTACACAGACGCACACATTCACGTGTCTGAAAACAATCTAACAGCAAGAGGGATAATAAATGGGCTAAGCTCTTGAGTAATGGATGGGTCGACTATCTCCAAACATCTCTTGTACTTTTCCCCACCCTCAGGAGAAACTGCAGAAGTGCCTGGAGCCCCTGGAGCAGAAGCTGCAGGAGATCAACTGCTGCAAAGCCTCCGAAGAAAAGAAACCCGGGGAGCTCAAGGTAGAGCAGGCGGTTTGCTGCCTTCACTGCTTGGCTGGGTGTTTGCCTGTGAGCGAATCGACGGCTCTTTACCTGGTCTACCAGTTAATCGGAAAACTGCTGTTCTCATTGAACTATACTTAAATCACCTAAGTACTGAGGAGGAGGAGGAGGAGGATAGAAGAAATGAAGGGGCTGGGGTGCCGGCTCAGTGGGTGAAGATGCTTGCTCTGCCAGCATCAAGACTTGAAGTCCACATGAAGGTAGAAATGTAAAACTGTATCCACGGGTAGACATCTGAGTACCTTCATGCCATACACTGTGTAAATACACACACCATTTACACAATAGTAAATACTTTGTAAATAAACAGACGTGACACAGCAGCGGTGGCCCATGCATGCGTTTAGTCCCAGCACTCGGGAGGCAGAGGCAAGTAGCTCTCTCTGAGGTCCTACACAAGGCCAGCCTGGTGTGCAGGGCTAGTGCCAGGACCGGCTCCAAAGCTATGCAGGGAAACCCTGTCTCAGGGGAAAACAAAAAGGTGCGGAATCGGGCCTTCTTAGAGGGTTGGAGGAAAGAGAATTTGGAGAGTTCACAGGGAGGGGGGCTGTTTGTTTTTAATTATTCTTTTTTATTTTATGTGTATGGGTGTCTTTGCATCACGTGCCTGCCTGATGCCTAAAGAGGCCAGAAGAGGGTATCAGATCCCCCAGACCTAGAGTTCCCGGTGGTTGCAAGTGCCGTGTGGGTGCCAGGAATTGAACTCAGATCCTCTGAGAGAACAAGCAGCCAGTGCTCTTAAATCCTCCAGCCCCACAGAACCAGTTTGTTTGTTTGAGTCTTACTATATAGCCTTGGCTGGCCTGGAACTCATTATGTAGATAAAGTTAGCTTCAAACTCAAAAACATCCACCCGCTTTTGTCCACCAGGTGCTAGGAATAAAGGTGCAGACCATAACATTTGGTTTAGAACTGCATCCTTATAATTAAGTAATCTAAGGCAATGTTAACTCATTCAGCCTTCACCTGTGGAGTTCTTGGTTCGATGCCTTGACCGAAAGTAACTTAAGCACGAAAAGTTTTATTTTAGCTAGTTCCACAGGGAAAGAGTCTAGAATGGCAGGGAAGACAGTGTATAGCAGCAGGAACAGGAAGCTGCCACATCAGATTTTTTGAGGGGAGATAGGGGTTTTGAGACAGGCTTTCTCTGTATAGCTTTGGAGGCTGTTATGGAAGTTGCTCTTGTAGACCAGGCTGGCCTCAGACTCACAGAGATCCGCCTGCCTTTGCCTCCTGAGTGCTGGGATTAAAGGCGTACGCCACTAACACCTGGCCACATCAGATTTTTGTACATACCCAGGAAGTAGAGCAAACAGGAAGTAGGGTAAAGCGGTAAACTCTGAAGCCTGCCCCCAGTGACATACTTCCTGCAGCAAAGCTCCACCTCCAAAGGTTCTGTAGCCTCTGCAAAGAAAGCTCCCAACAGGGATCGTGCTCAAATAATGAGCCTGCCGGAGGTGGAAGGTATTTCTCCTTTAAACCATGGTAATATTTGAACTGAAGTATTTAATTATAAATTTTCATTTCAGCGATATTTAAAACTGCAATTCATAACATTCCTTTTATGACTTTAAATTTGCCCTCCCCAGCCTTTTTGCCCCTTTCCTATCACCTCAACCTCCAAACCTGGACTCAGTAACAGTTTATACAGTGCTGGAGAGACAGCTTGGTGGTAAGGAGCATTGGCTGCTCTTCCAGAGGTCCTGGGTTTGAATTCCCAGCACCCACATGGCAGTAACTCCAGTTCCAGAGAATTCTACATCTTCACACAGATACACATGAAAGCAAAACACCAATGCACATAAACTAAAAGTAAATTAAAAATCTTTTTAAATTATAAAGTTTGAGGAAGCAAAGCAGGCATACAATCTCCACACTCAGATACTAAGATGGGAGACAGTTGCAAGTGTTAACATCCAAGACTGTACAGAAAGACCCTGTTTTAAAAAAAAAGTAATAAATTTAAAAGGACCGAGGGAATGGCATCAGTTCACCAACACAGCAGACAAAAAAAAATACAAGTTTATGAACTGGGTGTGGTGGTACTCACCTATAATCACAGAGGAGGCTGGAGAAGTAATATTACAAGATCACATCACAAGTTCAAAGCCAGCACAGGCCAGCCTGGGAAATTCAGATAAGATAAATCTACCAACAAGCCAAGCAGTAGTGGCTCACGCCTTTGATCCCAGCACTCGGGGCAAAGGCAAGCAGATCTCTGTGAGTTCAAGGCCAGCCCGGTCTACAAATCTACACAGGGAAACCCTACCTCAAAAGATAACCTACCTACATAATTTTAAAGAGATTATCCTATCCGGTAACACCATAGAGTGATTTTGTGTGTGTGTGTGTGTGTGTGTGTGTGTGTTGTTTTGGCTGGCGTGGAACTCTATTTAGGCCAGATGTGGCCTTGAACTCATAGAGCTATGTCTGCCTCTGTCTCCTGGATACGGAGATTAAAGGCATGCACACTTCTCCCAGCTAGAAGTAGTTTCTAATAAAGTCTGATATGTGAAAAGGCACTATAGTGTGGTCATAGGCTTGCACCTGTATGTGACATTATCAGGTGAAACAAATGTGGGTTCATGCTGAGGAAGCTGTGAGTCAGATGCCACAAGCAGCTTGGCGGCCTGGTGAATTCTGAGAAAAGCAAAATACAGTGTTTTTTGGTTTTACGAGACAGGGTTTCTCTGTATTGTTTTGGAGGCTGTCAGTCCAGCCCAGCCTGGAACTCACAGAGATCCGCCTGCCTCTGCCTCCCGAGTGCTGGGATTAATGGCGTGCGCCACCACCGCCTGGCTACAGTGTTCTTTTTTATTTAAGGTTTATTTTTGTGCGTATGTATGTATGTATGTATGTATGTATGTATGTATGTATGTATGTATGTGTGCATGCCCATGTACACACTCTCCCAGAGACCAGAAGAGGACAAATCAGATCCCCTGGAACTAGAGTTACAGGCAGTTTCCAGCTACCCAATGTGAGTGCTGGGAGCCAAGCTCAGATCCCTGGAAGAGAAGCAAGCATTCTTAATCACCAAGGCGCACCTCTCAGCCCCCAAAAGATAGTCTTATGAGTACAATTCCTCACACCTGCTTCTAACACCACACACATTGCAAATCTGTGTTCAGGACAAAGGTGAGAATGTATTCCATTGCCTGCCTGAGAAAGCATCAAGGAGCCCTGTAATAAAAGCCCATCTGTTGTCTGTGGGAGTGGGGTAGCTTCAGATCAGGACCGCCAACCTTGTGAGGCCCACTGGCTCTTGTTTATACCCCATCCATTCTTCAGCCTGGCACTCACTCTCTGTCCCTGCCCACTTGTTTCAGAGTCCCATCTCTATTTGTCTTTTGAGTCGATACCTCCCTGTCAGTCACAAGGACCTGAGACCCCTTCCCTGGGGACGGTCACTTACAGTAAGGCACAGTGGGGGGAGGGTGTGCTGATGACCCTCAGAGTGTGTGACTGCTGTTGGAGTCCTGTACTCTCCAACTTCAAGGATGCTTGCTAGAAGTTAAGTATGTGCTGCTGTCAAGAGCATGTTTCAAATTGTAAGCAACTAATTTACTAAAAAGTATGATCCTGGAATGGGAAATACCTATTCTCTGTCAGCACAAATAACAACTCTCACCACCCATTTGTTCTGAGAGACCATGACTTTGAAACACAGATTTAGGTTACCCCAACTTCCATGTCTCAACTGAGAAACAGCTTCATGAAGTTTTTAAAGAACAGAACAAAGAGCCATAGAGCAAGGCACCTTTCAGGAACATTGGTGGAAGCATGAGATAGGTAGTTATATACAGCAAAAAAGAGTAATCTCAGCTATAGGCCTCAGATGCTGTCTGGTGACGCCATGTTTTATCTGTTAATCACAGGATGGTAAGTCCAGCACAGATGTAGGCACAGGGAAGGCTATTTAGAAAGCTAAAGATAGCCCAAGACAAAATGTAAGTAGGCTCCAGGCCTGCAACAGTCCAACCTCTCTCCACATCACTGCAGTTCTAATCAGTTAGCTTCTTTCCAGGAGTTCTTAACCCATCAAAAATGACTTGGAAAATTTGGGGGAAAAAAAATAGAAACAGCAACCAAAACAAGTTCAGCCCTGAGGTCTAAATACATGCCTTGCATTAACTCATTAAAATGATTCAGACTGTAATAGCTTATTTGTTCTCTGGTTTTTATCGGATTATTAGTGATGGAAATCTTTGCCCTTCTATTATTTGCATTTTTAACAGACTGTATAAGCCAAACATCAGAGTAGAAAATAGCAAAAATACCTCTGATATCCGTAACAGTGGATATCATCATCACATCATTGAGTTCTTGAACCTTGAATGTATTTTATTAAAATATAAAAGGTTAATCTAGGTTTAAAAAAATCAAGTATTGATTGTTTTAAATCTTTTCACTGATTTGCACTAGCAAGTCATCTGTTGGGGGTGTGCAGGTGACTGCATGCCTCACAGGGAGAGAAGCAGGAAGGCTGAAGTCTTCCCAGTGACAAGGAAGTCTGTACTGAGCCTGGTGGGTCTGGGAGAGGCACCCTCGTGCCTCCTGGTCCTGACGGCATCCTCCCTTGTTCTCAGAGACTAGTGGAGAGCCGCAGACAGCAAATCCTAAAGGAGTTTGAAGAGCTCCACAGGAGGCTGGATGAGGAGCAGCAGACTCTCCTTTCACGACTGGAAGAAGAAGAGCAGGACATTCTACAGAGGCTTCGGGAAAATGCTGCTCACCTTGGGGACAAGCGCCGGGACCTGGCCCACTTAGCTGCTGAGGTGGAGGGCAAGTGCTTACAGTCAGGCTTCGAGATGCTTAAGGTTCGACCCTTGCCCCTGCGTAGTTCCTCCGGCCCGATGCAGTCTAGCTTTGTGTAGGCCGCCCTGTCAGCCTGGGGTGCACCCTCTCCTACTCTGCTCCCCTAAGCCCAGATTTCTCTTCAGGTGTGTGCAGAGGACCTATTTCTAGAGTAGGGCACCTCAGAGTTCCCCTCCCTTACAAATTTTTTTATATCCTTACATCTTTTCAGAAATTGTATGCTTGGAGCTAGTGAGATGGCTCAGTGGTTAAGAGTTCTTGCTTCTCTTGGAGAGGACCTGGGTTTAGTTCTCAGCACCCACATGGCAGTTACAACACTCTGTAGCTGCAGCTCCTGGGGTTCCAGTGCCCTCTTCTGGCCTCTACAGGCATTGCTTGTGTACATGCATACACACAAACAAGACAGTCGTACACATAAAATAAGTCTTTTTTTTTAATGTATGTAATTTGTACCCCCCCAAAAAGATAATCCTTTCCAGAAGACAGAAGTTTGTTCTACTTGGTGATAAACTGTGTGTTCCCATTTTTGTAAATACATTTCCCTTACTTTCCAGTTCTAGAATGTACTTTACCTGGTAGTAAAGCAGGGGGCGTAGAAGCATAATTTAAAGAATACTCAGAATATGTTTAAGTAGTAAAGTAGTACATTGTTACCTCTGAAATGTCTGGTATAGTCCATCTTCAGTTATGTGATTATGACAGTGCTGTAGGAAGCATATTTCTTATCTCAGATAAGACCACTAACTCAAGACACGTATCACTGCACACTCGCGTGCATATGTTGCTTGGTATTTATCCCTTTGTCTTTCATTTGTGTGTGCTCTGCTGATTGCATTAAACTTGAAATCTACGGGGCTGAGATTTGTTGTGTTTGTCATCTGGATCCCAAATAGTCTTAAATCAGAATTGATACAAATTAGTATTTATTAACCGGTGCTAGCAGGGATGTTCAGACCACAGTGCGATGCATCCTATGCCCCAAGTCTGGGGTTGTCTGTACTGCTTCTCAGTGGTGCTGAGGTGTGTGGCTGGAGTCTGGGGGGACAAAAGAGCAGACACAACCTCAGTCCCCTAAGGGAGCCTCCAGTGTCTTTGAGGAAGAAAGACAAATGTACAGGAAACCATGTAGAGGTGACATTAACTATCAAGCTTTGTTATGACCAACAGTTGGAACTGGGCATTCCATGAGAGACAGACACACACTTAGGTCCGTCTGAAGCTTACCCCTTGCATTGGGGCCCTCAGTCTGCCTGGTGCCTAGTTTGAAGATCTAGCACTTGGGGGGAGGAGGGAGAACCTGTTTGCCTTCATGACCCATGAGTTCTAGGACCAATCTTACTTTGTTTTCTCTTTTCCTCTAGGACGTGAAAAGTACCCTGGAAAAGTAAGTGACTGTCTCTGAGTTAGGTCTTGGCTTAGAGGCTATGGGCTTAGTAATGACTTGGAGGAAGTAAGAAAGGGAAAGCCACGCAGTGTCTGAGTGAGATATGAAGAAGGATGAACCATTAGGAGTAATGATGCTTCACACCCCCTCCCCTTTGACATCAGGTCGTGTCTGGTCAGAGCCGTGATAATGGGGAGCCACATTCTGCCTGTGGGTGGAGCTGTGTGCAGACAAGATGGTGGAAGGGTTGGGAGCACAAGCAGTGGAGAGGTGGTTGTCCTTTTGCGTGAAATACGAGAATATTCCAAGGAAGTCCTGAGGCTCGTTCTCAAGAGACAGGCCTGTCAAGGGAACCACATAGCTCTCCAGGGATAATAAAAAGGAGGCCACTGTCCTCCAGGAGGAAGGGCAATGGAGAGGCCTGGTTCTGCTTTTCTCCAGAGACCACACCACACCACTCACATGACCAGTTGGCTGGAGCTCCCCCTGACCCTGTTCTGGCTTTTTTTTATCTCCCATCCCTCCCAGATGTGAGAAGGTGAAGACCATGGAGGTGACCTCAGTATCTATAGAGCTGGAAAAGAACTTCAGCAATTTCCCCCGGCAGTACTTTGCCCTCAGGAAAATCCTTAAACAGCTAATTGGTGAGTTGTTCCTCAAAGGAAACTGGCGTGGGGCATGCAAAGGGGTGAAAGGTTCAGATCCTCTTTCTCATGCCCGCCCCAACCTGCCCCATTACCAGCTTTTCGTCTCACTTTAAATCGTAGACTTCAGAGACGAGGCCTTAGGTGTCATTGGCTCTCTATGGGGACCTGGAAACGTTAAAGGGTTCCTGACTCATCAGTCAGGTGGATGGAGCAAAGGGGAAGTCATTAACATTTATGTAGGGAAAAGCAGTCACAGAGCAGGACTGTTAGATTCAAGCCCATGCTCACCATGTCCCCAGCCCCTTCATACAGCTCACTTGATCTGGAGCCTTCTTTCTGGCCCTCCCTCCCTCCCTCCCTCCCTCCCTCCCTCCCTCCCTCCCTCCCTCCCTCCCTCCGTCCCTCAGACAGTGCCTTTCATTTTTTCCATACAGCAAAAGCAAGCATGATTTGAGAAAGTTAACCAGCCCACAGTGTTCCGGGGACTTTGAGGGGCCAGGCTTTGTACAGGCAGGCTAGGAAAGCAAGGCAGGGATGTTTAGCTATTCCCGTCCTCATCTAGCTCCCCACTCTGGCTTCTCCCGCCAGCGGATGTGACCCTGGACCCCGAGACGGCTCATCCTAACCTCGTCCTGTCAGAGGATCGGAAGAGTGTCAAGTTTGTGGAGACAAGACTCCGAGACCTCCCTGACACGCCACAGCGTTTCACTTTCTACCCTTGTGTCTTGGCTACTGAAGGCTTCACCTCAGGCCGCCACTACTGGGAGGTGGAGGTGGGCGACAAGACCCACTGGGCAGTGGGAGTGTGCCGGGACTCCGTGAGCAGAAAGGGCGAACTGACGCCACTCCCCGAGACTGGCTACTGGCGTGTGCGGCTATGGAATGGGGACAAGTACGCAGCCACCACCACACCTTTCACCCCTTTGCACATCAAGGTGAAACCTAAGCGGGTGGGCATATTCCTAGACTATGAGGCTGGCACGTTGTCTTTCTACAACGTCACAGACCGCTCACATATCTACACCTTCACTGACACTTTTACTGAAAAACTTTGGCCCCTCTTCTACCCAGGGATCCGGGCTGGCCGGAAGAATGCTGCACCACTTACTATCAGGCCCCCGACAGATTGGGAGTGACGAGATTTGTAGCTTCATTGGGGTGAGGCAGGGTCAAGAGTGACGGGTCTTCCTTGCTGTGACCTGCTGGAATGTCCTGGTGTCTGCGTGGTTCCAGTCCTGAGCCATCTTGAGAAACCACCTGGTCTCTGGGATGGTTTGTGTGAAGGAGTAAAGACGGGACTGGGCTGCGTGACAGCACAGATGAGTGTCCCTACTAAACCGTAGTGGGGAAGCGGGCTCCCAGGGGGTTGTAGCCTCTGGTGTCCAGCAGGTTTCCCATTGCACAAGGACAAGTTGGCAAAGGAAAGGCTTCTCTAGAAATAGAAAGTCGACACATAAAGAGTCTTAACTTGCTTACAGTGCAGGAAACAGAAACCTTTAAAAGGCTTCTGTGACTCGAAGAGTAGCCCTTGTTCCTATGGAGCACATAGGGATCTGTGTACCTCTGGGTTGGAGAGATGAGTGGCAGCTGCTGTCCTGAGTCTAGAAGTTGAGGGGCTTTTCTGAGGGCAGAGATGGGGCATTCAAGTCAGGAGGAGGGTCGGGAAGACGCTAAAGGGACACTCTAGAAAGGAATGGAAGAAGAGGGGGGTTTCTTTGGTATTCCCTTGTTAGGGTGATGTTACCATTACCCATAGGATTAGCCAGAGGTTGGGATTTGGGGAGAAGGGAGAAGGTGGGCAGAAAGGAGAACCCAGGTCTCGGAAGCTGGCTTCTCCCTGTCCCCTGCAGGTGGTTGTCTCCAAGAAGCAGACCCACCTTTCTCCCCTCTGGGGAGATGGAAGCAGGCCTACAGGATTCACACATCTGCCCTTCCACTGTTTTCCCAAGGGAATTTGGGGAGGAGTCGGCTACTGGAGGAAAGAAAATGGTGTATCCAAAGCCCTGGCCTTAAAGAATGTTAAAAGTAGTTATTCCCAAGTTGTCTGTCTTGTCCCTGGCTCAGGTGTCTAAGCCAGGAAGGAAGAAAGGTAATGGAGTTTTTCTTACCCCACGAGAACAGGGTTCTGGAAGAGGGTGGTTTCTGTAGCAAAGGGCCAGGTAGACAGCTTCATTCGCTTCTCCTGTCATCCTTCGCCCTTTGACATTCCCCTTTTCAGAGAATGTAAATCGTTTTAAGTTAGGCCAAAATAAACAACCCATAGGGTACATGCGTTGTCACAAAAGGTGATGAGATGCATGCCAAACCACACGACCTGGATTATCTGCCGCCTGGGGAATCTCCGTACACGACTGGGAACCAGAAACTGCATCGAGGACATTTCCGTTCTCCCACCTCAACAGGACTTTTGTCCACTCTCTTCTTACCTTTGTGCCTTGACTGTGGTTCTTTGTGGCAAGACAATTTGGTTGGTCGAAATACGGAACAAAGGATCCACTGATGTGATCTGAGTTGTGTGGTAATTTGGCAGTGGCCTTATGTGAGACTCCCTGGCTATGAAAATACATGTTCTTGGGTCTCACCCTCTGTCCTTCATGGAGGTTGGGGAGGGCTTAGGAATCTACGGTTAACATACTCCTCTCATCTGACTTGGAAGGCCCTCACAGGACACCACCCGCAGGGTAAGTTTCAGCTAGGCTCACTCTGAGCTGGAAGCCTGCTTCTCCACCCGGATGTCCTGGCCGGAGCCTTGAGCCTGGAAGAGATCTCTGCCTCCTCTGACTCCTTCCGAAGCCCTCAACTCTGGATTCAGCTCGAATACCACTGCTTCTGACCTTGGGTGCTCTGGGTCATTAAGTGGGAATAGCTGCTAATGGTTAGTTAGCAGAGAGACAGGCCATGCTGGTGACAGGTTTGTGTGCCCTAGGAACTGTCCACGTGGCCAGTACTGTAACAGCAAGTGGGAGAAAGCCGTGCCTGCTGCGGGCCAAGCTCTGCTCAGGGATGTTTTGTCCTCCCTCGTAGTAATGTCCTTTCCCACTGTGAGCCCCACAGGCACCAGTACTTTTCTGGTTTTGAGTCAGGGTCCAGCCATGTGGCCCGTTGTGACCTGTATGTAATTCGCGACAGTCCTACCTCAACCTCCCAAGTGCTGGGATGACAGGAATATAACGCGAAGCTAGACATTGCCTGTTTTGTTGTTTCATCGGTCCACGGCGTCTGAGAGTAAGAAAGTTCACTCTGATTTGTCTACGGCACACAATTCTCTCAGTACGAGAGACTAGATGTCTGTCCTGGAAAAAGTTTCCCTATTTTAAGATCATGTGCCTGCTCCACTAGCCCCGCTGGGGCCCTACCTAATAAGTAAATATATGAGGAATACCAAGCTAGGGTCGCCTGCCAGGGAAGGGGTGGGGGTCCGACACTACAGTTCCCAGCAGGCCTCGCGCGTGTTGGGGGCGGGACATCCGCCGAGAGGGCCCGACACTCATGGCGGGCCAAGTGAAGGACCGGGAGGCCTTCCAGAGACTCAGCTTCCTGTACCAGGTGAGACGGCGGTCCCGGCGGGCGGCTGTCTGGTGCTGCGGCCGCGGAATGACCCGGGTGACCGTCCCTGTCCCCAGGCTGCACACTGCGTCCTGTCGCAGAACCCGGAGAACCAGGCCCTGGCGAGGTTTTACTGCCACACGGAGAAGACCATCGCGAAGCGGCTGGTCCTGCGGCAGTAAGGCGCGGGCGAGCGGGAGGAACCAGGGACGCGGGCGGGCGAGTTCCCGACGACCTCTCCTCCTCACCCAGGGACCCCTCGGTGAAGAGGACGCTCTGCCGCGGCTGCTCATCTCTCCTCATCCCCGGCCTCACCTGCACCCAGCGCCAGAGACGTGAGTGCTGCCTCCAGGACGCCGTGGTGGGCAGCAGCGTCTGCATCTGATTTGTCCCTAAAACCTGCCAGGACTACATGACACTCTGTAGTCTGAAAAATGCTAACCCTATTTGCTTATTATTTAATCTCTACGATTCATTAAGTACTACCAGCTGAGTGGATCGCAGTGGTTCCCGCCTTTAATCCCGAGCACTTGGAAGGTAGAAGCAGGTGATCTCCGTGATTTCAAGGCCGTCCTGATCTACATAATCCAGTCCCGCCAGGGTTGCATAGTGAGACCCCTGTCTCGAGCAAAAACACATAACCTCCCCCTTGGTTTTGGTTTTGATTTTTTTTTTTTTTTGACACAAGTGTCACTGTAGCCCAAGTTGGCCTCCAACTCGCTGAAACTCCTGCCTCGGCATCCCTAACGTTGGGATTACAAGCGGGAGACAACACACCGAGCTACTAGAGTATTTTTAAAGGCTGGGATTGGAAGAGAGTCTAGTGCTGGGTTCCTTCTGCCAGTGGCAGGGAAGTATGTATGTCATGATAAACAGAGTCAGACGGAAACTCTAAGCGTCGGTTAGGATTCCCACACATGAAAACTAGCTGTCAAGGGGCTGGGGAAACGGTTCAGTGGGCAAGGAGCTTGATGTGCAAGTATGAAGTCTTGATTTCAGATGTCCAGCACCCTTGGGGGCCAGGTGAAGACGTACAGATTCTGGGGCCTCTCTGGCCGTCTAACTGAAGGCATCTAGCTCCAGGTTCAGTGAGAGACCCCGTCCCACAAAGACATGGTGGAATGTAGTAAAGGAAGACACCCAAACCAGATCTCTGTCCTCCACACACACCCACGCGAACGATCCTGTGCACACACACCACACACGCATACTCATGCATGTAGCGCTGACATGTACGCGATATAAATAATAAGTATAAATAAAAATCACTTTAAAAAGAGCCTGTGCTGTAAGAAAACGAACATTCAAGAGGCTGGCATTTGAGGTAGGTAGGATGGAAACAGGCAAGGGAAGCTAGACCTCATTAAAGACTTTGAACTCCTTAGCGTTCCAAGGAATTGATGTTCACAAAGGGCCTTACACACACACACACACACACATCAAATTTGCATTCCGAGTGCAGACAGTGGAAGAAAACTGCAAATAAAAAGAGCAAGACGGTTTTCTCAGAAACCTGGTCACTCTCTTTTTCTCCCCCCACTTATACCCCAGGCCGAAAGGGTCTTAGCTGGACAGTGCAGACCTGCCTGACATGCCAGCGCAGCCAGCGGTTCCTCAACGACCCTAAGCATCTGCTCTGGGGTGACCGGCCTGAAGCCCAACTGGAAAATCAGGCAGGTGAGCAGTGGCGGGGGAAGAAGAGGGAGCCCCCAAGAGAAAAGATGGCGGAGAGTGGAAAAGCAAGGTAGGCAGGCCTGATCAATGTTCGGGGTGCCCACAGTCCTAGGGAACTAATTCCTCTCCTTTGATTCTCCTCCAACTGTCTAGATCTCAAGCCATCAGAGCCCCTGCCAAACACAGCCCACCTCCCTAAGGAGAACGCACAGCCTCAGGCTCCAAACACCAGTGATGAATTCGCTCCACTTTCCAGATAAATAAAAGCTGAATTTTGTTCGACATTGTGTTCTGTGGTATTTCAACTGGTTATATCATTTTTTTCCTCTTTTTTTTTTCTTTTTTTGGTGGTGTTGGGGGGTGGTCACAGTAACCTCTTCTTACATGTTTGCACCCCACCGTGCAGGGAATTCCTAGTTCCATGTACCAGTCTGTCCCACTGAGCAGCCCTAGCATCCTCAATACGATGATGTGTTTGGAAAACAAGCCTCAGCATTTCTCAGTGGATTCCATATTGAGGTGATCCTGACTGTTGAGATGGGAAGGCAGACGCTGTTGATGTCTTCTGGGCACACCCCGCCCCGGCCCTTTCCTCATCTCAGAGTGGTCTTCCATAAAATCGTAAGGAAAATGGTTCAGGCCTGAACTAACAACGTAAAATGCCAAACATGGCAGGTCTGTGTGTGTGTGTGTGTGTGTGTGTGTGTGTGTGTGTGTGTGTGTGTGTGCTCCACAGGTAAATTCAGATGTCTTCTCTGATATCTCTGCCGACTGCAGACGGTCATGTTACCCCCAGAAATAATAATATCCTGGGAGTGAAGTTTTCTTCCCTTTTGCCTTTAACCCTGTGTCGCGCTTAACTACCAATGCATCTTTTAAAAGTCTGTTTGTAATGTGCCATAGGCAACAGTGCTACATTTGGGATTTTGCAGGAGTTAATTCCCTAACTGCTCCAGAAGACTCGGTAACTTAATGTCCCATTGGCCAAAGCAAGGCACATCTCCAAGGCTAGATTCCTTGAGGAAGAGACTACCAGGACAAGAACACTAGGTTTATCGGTTTCCTGGGACCATGGTAGTAACCATCTACTGTATCCGTCTTTGTCTCCCACTCAGCCTCTCCACTGACTTCCACGAGTCAGTAAAAAGCGCTAAGTAGTTAAAAGTACTAAGTAGTGTGCAGGTAACAACAATGTTTGGCAGTACATTTCTAGAGATTGTGCCTGGCTGGGTCAACTGATAGCTGTCAGGATCATGTGCTGTAAAAGCACACCTCGTACCTGGAGTCTGCGGTCTTCAGCTCATGTTCTTCGGCTTCTCCAGCAAGTCATTTCTGATGGTCCTTGGGCTCTTACACACTAAATCTGATTTTTGGACAACTGTGTGTGTGTGTGTGTGTGTGTGTGTGTGTGTGCACTCAACCCTGTGACTGCACACAATGGAACATACCTTGTCTCAGGGTTTCTATTGCTGTGAAGAGACCACATAACCATGACAACTCTTACAAAAAATGCATTGAATTGGGGCCCCGCTTGCAATTTCGAGGTTTAGTCCATTCTCCTGGTGGTGAGAAGTACGGAGGCATGCAGGCAGACGTGGTGCTGGAGAAGGAACCAGAGTTCTGCGTCTGGATCCAAAGACAGCAGAAGGAGGCTCTGTGTGCGCCACACTTGGCATAGTCTGGGCGTATAAGACCTCAAATCCTGCCTCCTTCACAGTGACACCCTTCCTTCAACAAGGTCACACCTCGAACCGGGTGTTGGTCTTTAATCCCAGCACTCGGGAGGCAGAGGCAGGCGGATCTCTGTGAGTTCGAGGCCAGCCTGGTCTACAAGAGCTAGTTCCAGGACAGCCTCCAAAGCCACAGAGAAACCCTGTCTCGAAAAAACAAAAAACAAAACAAAACAAAAAACAAGGTCACACCTCCTAATATTGCCACTTCCTATGGCCCAAGCATCCAAACACATGAGTCTATGGGGGCCATTCCGAATCAAACTACCACATGCCCATGCCCTAAGTGGGATAACATCCAGAGAATCTTTTTTGTTTGTTTGTTTAAGGATCTTTTGCCCTGGCTAAACTTCCTATGTAAGCACAGATGACTTTGAACTTCTAATCCTCCTACCTCCAGGTCTGGGATCACATGCATCCACCAAAACACTAGGTTTTTATGTAGTGCTGGTGATTGAACCTGGGATCCTGCACTTGCTAGAGCTGCCTCCCCAGGACAGGAGCAGCCTGAGTTTTGATTTCATGGCTCAATCAGGCGGTTTCCTCTTGTATAGGAGAGCATCAGGATCAAGTTCCACATGGTAAAAATAGATTCTGGAGAGTTGACCCCACGGTTGAGAGCACTTGTGCG